ATGAGATTCTATTGGTTAGTTCCTGAATTATCAAGATTTTTAAAAAATAAAAGATGTAATATAAAAGTTTTGGATATACAAAATACAGTGGAACCTTTCTTAACAAGCACCTCTCATAATGAATAATTTGCATAACAAGCAAAGCAAATTGTAAAATAATGACTCGCTTAACAAGTGACATTTTGCATAATGAGTGACAAGGAGAGTGGAAGTCCTGGATTGTGTGCATTTTACATCAATCTATGTTTAGTACTCGTTCCACTAGCAACTTAGTGTCGCTTGTGATCACACATTATTCGAAACTTGTGTTCAGATATATTATGTATAAACATCAACAATCATAGTCTGTTATATAAATAAACATGCATATGTAGGCAGTTGGATTCAGGATGGAGGAGGTTTGAAAGACAGCGGACGAAAGAAGTTGCACTCAACTGCAAGATTAACATTAACAAATACCCATTTGTTTATTTAAGTAGTATACATCTATTTACAAGGATTTATAAGGATTTTTTGCTAGATGCGAGTTAGCTGATATAACTATTATTGCGGGTCCCTAACCACAAGAGAGAGAGAGAGAATTCACAATTGTTCGTGGGTGGATAAATACCTTGCAAAAATTGAGGATGGCAGTTCCTTAGTTGTTGGGAATCGGAGGATCTGACAAATCGATGATTCGGAGGATTTTAGGTTGGTGATTACCCAGTATCAGGATTGTTCAGCATATCATTGTGGATCATTGGATGATAGCTTGGTGGTCAGCAGGATGTATCTGATATGAGTGACAAACTTTTTGAGATGGTGAGCTCTCGATAACGACAAGCTGTGTCATCATTGGTTATTCCTTTTTATTTATGGGTTTTCCTCGTCTTTCTTCTATGCCTATTTTTGGTGCTGCTAATCTCCACATCCAATAGCAATTTATTTGTTAGGTTCATGGTGACACATTTGATGTGTCATCTTGGAAAGGAAGTGACTCTAAGGTGAAAGATACAATCATATCCTTTATCATTTAACAAACCTGGGGAAAATTTTAACAAGTTTTAATATAATTGATGAAAAATTTTATTAAAAAATTTATTGTCAAGTCTGGGCCCTCACAATCGTTTATCAAACCACTGCATTTATTTACTTAAAAGCAGAATAAAATTTGTCTAAAATAGTGTAAAATAAAAACTTCACTAATTTGGACTAAGCTTTTTTTTAATTAGTCCAAATTTGTGATCTTCTGTTATATTTAAGTTACAATGGAGTTTTATTGAAAAACTAGTTATACACAATTGTTTGAGTTTTGCATAACATTCAAAAATTTCTTTATGTAATTATTCTTTGTACAGATGTTCATATTTTTGTTTCTTTTAATTATAAAAGTTTAATAGCATTTCATAAGCTATGGATTTGTATTTATTACCTTTTGTCTGTAGCATGAAGTATGTTTCTTTTTGTTTCAAAGTCAATTTGTTTGCATTTTCTCATCTCTGTTGCTTAGAGAATGCAAAGTAATCAAAAGTACACATGCTATGTTTATATCAGAGAGTAAATATTACATAGCGACAGTTATTCTTCCCACTTCTTTATGTTGTGTTGCCATGGATTTGGCCAAGAATCCAATATGGTGGTGTAATGATGAGGATGCTTTGAGTGCAAGAAATCTAATGAAATATATATTAACAGAGTTAATTACAATTAAACTTGCTTCAGTTTACAAAATACAGTAGTTCAGGTAATTGTGGATATATGAGAAAATTATAGTTTAAAGCAAAAAACGTTTAGTTTATTTTGAAAATTAGGGATTATATTATATTTGAATTTTGACTCAGATCAGAGAGAGAACCTCTGACAATTACAGTGATTATGGTTCAGATACTTGACATTACACATTATACTGAATAATTTTATGGATTATTATGAACAAGCAAGGTGTCAATGTATTTTCAGAGATAATTTATCTATACATTATTTTAGTAGTACCACATAATGTGAGATTGACTTCCTTCTGGTAAAAACAAACAGACCCAATAAAAGCTAAAAAGAATAAGACACAAAACTAAAAAAAAAGAATGTAATATAAAAATAAAGTAATTATTAATGTAAAATTATTTTTTACACTTTATAAGATTTAAAATCATAATACAAAAGAGGTTTCGTGTTTAAGTGATGAAATAACACAATAAAAAATGACCATCTAGATTGAGTGGCAAACCTATGGCATACATGTCAGAGAAATCATAAGGCATGTAATGTATCACTGACTTTTTCAGTCAGCTTCTTTACATTTATTCTGATTAAAGTGTATCTATTTTATTTATTTGAATATCATTATTTGAAGTCTAAAACTTTGGCATGAATAAACATTTTTAAAGGGAAGTATGCTTACTATATAGACTGAAAAACATTTGCCATACCTGATCTAGACAAAGATGACAGCTAGATAGCAATAGGCAAGCTAAAAATAGGCAAAAAGAAAGATGACAGCTAGATAGCAATAGGCAAGCTAAAAATAAAATAAATTATAAACATAATTTAGTAATATAAGCACAAAGCTACACTTATTTTTATTGAACAAATATTTTGTAAATAAATATTAAATTTAAGATTAGGATTTTCTGCTATCAATACACTAGACAATGCAAGTAAAAGTTAAAAATTAAGTTTACCAATGTTATAAAAGTTATAAAATAATGATTTATATTTGAATGAGTAATATTTAATATATGAAATCTACTTGTACACACTATGCTAGTAGACTTGTATGAAGACATACAATGAAAAGAATGATCTCTGAAACTGTAGGAATAAATAAACTATTTGGTAATTTCTTTGTAATGAAGACATGCATCCCAAAACTTGTTTGATCTGTGCAGGTAAATTTTACAAAAAGCCAAAAATCTGTCAAGCAAAAATGGCTAACATATTGCTGTAAATTTTGGCAGAATTCAAGTTGATCAAAGCTGGTATACTGACATGTCATATGAAAATGTGGCTGTTGCTCAAGATAAGATATTTGGTGTCAAAAATCTTGGGAATACTCAAAACTCATTCAGCCTATAGGCTGAACTACTTTTGAGAGTTTAACTCATTACAGACCATTATATAGAATACTCTTGTTAGTGTTTTATTTACGCATTATTGTTACATTAGTTATTGTTTCCTCATTCATAGAGTTCATCATACATTTTGATATGAGAATGCTGTTCATTTGTCCTTGTTCTAGCTAAAACTGCCTAGCTGATTGTTGTATAGTGAAGTACTTCATAAGTTTTCAACATTTCCTGCCTTTTTTTTTTTTGAAACATGGTTTTTTTATGGGCAGTGAAAGTGCATAAGAGTTACACAAATCTAGTTAATTTCTGAAGTACAGAAACTTGTGTTTCATCCAGTTGTATAACAAACTGACATCAGTATTGCTGTGTTATGTAAATTTTTATGTCCAAATATAGTATGAAATACCTCCAGAATCCTTTGAATATAGTGAACAGTACCTCCAAAACCTTTAATCTGAATCAGCATTAAACTTTATTTAAATAAAGCCTATGCTCAAAAATCCCATAATCAAGCATTTGCCTGTAGCCCACTGCAAATCTTTTTTCTTTAAAGCAGTTAAATCTCTCCTAAAATACATAATTATCAAATGTTACATTTCCATTTCATTTACTTTCCTCAGATTATAATTATCTAGTTCATATTTATTATATAAAAAATAGCAGTTAGGATTTCAACATTTGCAATGTACAGTACTTGATTATTAAAATTCCATTAAAGCACTAACATTTGTGTTCTAGTATAACGTAATCGCACTTACATGTTGTGCAATTACGTTACCAATTGCGTTACCAATGGTGAATTTGGAGTATAAATGAGTTCACAAGCACTTTCTGTAGCATAGATCAGCGGTCGGCAACCTTTCTCACCTCACTGACCACTAAAGTCACAATTTTGAATCCCGCGGACCATTATCATGAATTTTTTTAAAAGATACAAAATCTGTAGAATAATGATTACAAAAGTTCAATTTTACTATATTAATATGAAACTTGCATGTTTAATTATAACAAATTAATGCAATCATAAAATGTATTGCTGCTTTTTGAAACAAGTTTATGGATTCTTTGTGCTTTTCCACGAAGGACGACAATCGCACTCACAATATTGTTTATTGTTCATTATTCATTGATAACAGTCACTTCATTTTTGGTTTTAGATTTGAATAAAAAACCCCAATGAGTGTATATAGCAACTAAGCATTTTGCATTTCTTTCGTAATACTTCGCGTAACCTTCAGTTGATCAATGTTCAAATTTCTCCACAGACCACCCAAATTTTCTCACGAACCACTGGTTACCGACCGTTGGCATAGATCTTGCATTGTCAGGTGAATATTGAATACAATGGTTTTCAAATTCTGAGCTTTCGAACAACTTATGAAAATATACAAAGCACGTGGAAGGAATGCCAATATGAATTTGAAATAGAAAAAAGAATTCAAAAATTTTTAAGGTAAAGCCACAACACATAAGTGCAATTACATTGTATAGTAAAGTGTAGGTGTGAAATGTACATTACTTTTATTGTGTTCTACTGCTTTTAAGCAGTTGATGCTCATCTTCACAAATATGTGAATGTTGCTTGCTCAAAAGCACTATAACATAAATATTAAAAACTATTAAAACTCCAGAAAAATGAGCATATTTTGAGTTATTCATATTTTTAAATACTTAATTCACATAAATTACTTTTTGTATTATAAGAATTGTAATCAGATAATTCCTGTAATAAAAAAATATTATTTTAAAATGTTTTTAGTGACATATTATTATAAATGTTTGTGTTACTGTTCTTGCAAATTTCATTTTTATGTTTGCATTAGAATTTGTAGTAAACTTTCTAATATATTTAATTACATTTTTGTGATAAATTTACTTCGCTTGAATTACAATTATCTTAAAAAATAATATATATAATTATATAATTTATAAAATATGGATTTATTTTCTTTTCAGATTGATAATAATTACGTTGGAAGTCCACCCAAACTTGAAATCACTATAAGTAATTTAAATGATAATATCAATAAAGCATTTTTAGAAGAATTACTCAAGAAGTATGGTACGGTAGAAGAATCACAGATTTTTTATCATCCAAATACAAAAAAACATTTGGGATTAGCAAAAATCACTTTCACAACAACTCAAGCTGCAAAGTTTTGTGTTGAAAAATTAAATCATTCATCTGTCATGGGAAATATTCTTAAAGTGTTTTTTGATCCATTTGGTAAGTATGAAAATTTAAATTGATTATCAAAATATACTTCTTTAAATTTTATTTTATGAAAAGTGAAATGTATATAGTTGTATCTTAAATGGAGTTTAATGAGATAACTGTGTCATAATACACTTGAAATTTACATAGTACAACCGATACTCAGTATACGCTGGGGATAGCCTAACATTGTCGTGATAGGAACCATGTATTGCCTATTAGAAATATGCAACTATTATGTAATTAAAATACTATAGTATGTGGAAGCCACAGTAACAGCTGATTGCAGAGACAATGTTTAGATGCCGATGACAATTTAGAGATCATCTAGACCATGGTTCAGAAAAATTTCATTGCAGAGACGACATTTCTTGCTTGCTTCAGTTTAGACAGAGATTAGAAACAAATTATTTGACCTTCTTTCTAGATTCCCTCAATAGTAGGTTTAGACACCATTTTATTTGAGTAGACGTATTCATTTCTTAGTTGCAAAGTTTATGTTATAATGGATATTGTTCATTTAATAAATATTGTAAACGAGACTAATCAAGAAAATTATTTATCTCAACAATTATGAAGAGAGAGAGGGTAATATGAGATTGGAATAATCCTTTAATAATCTGTTCCGAAGACAGATTTTGAATTCAGTATAAATTTTCTAAATCTGGATTTGTTTGTATTTTAAATTGTATTGGCAATGAAATTAAGCATCTAGATGGAAAAGGATTGCCCATAACTACCAAGCAACAGTTGTTGATGGCATTATGATTTTATGCCACTGGAAGCTTCCAGAGGATAGCTGGTGATCTTATTAGAGTTCACGTCTGTAGTGTATGCCGGTATCTATCAAACTACCATTAAATAAATTTAAAAAGTTCTTTGTATAGTGATAGCGATGTCTATAATAAGAATAAACTCTTGCTGTGAGCAGACAGACAAGAAAATGATGAAGAAAATTTGTTCTGTATCATCTCCCATGCGGGTTTTTTCATTCCCAGAATACAATTGTTGTAACCTTTCTCCTCAACTGCAGGATAATTTTTTATAATTTTTGCAAGGACACTTTTTTCTTCTTTGAAAAAATTCCAGCATGATTTGAACACGTTTATCGCCATTTTTTCTGGCGTCATAAACGAATGACTTGATTGGTTAAATGACTCCCGAGAGAGGGGAGTAACAGCGAAGAAAGTAATAGCCAATGTTTTGCCGAGGTTTGTTTAGATGGTGTTCAGAAATGGACAATCATTGTTTTTGCAACGCATTTTAAACCGCAGTTCAGCCAGCCAACATCTAGACGCTGTTCGGCTGTTAAATGTCTTTTAATGTAAACTCTGCCTCTGCAATTGGCTATAAGGGTTTAGAAGAGCAACATGTGGCTAGTGAGCTGCAATTTGACTACCATAGGGTATATGCAACAAATACTCTGAAGAATTCTGTGTTAATGGAAAATTCATACAAGTCAAAAATTGCAGTTATATTTACATTATAGTATAATAAACAAATGAAATAATTTGAAATTTTGAAATAAAAGACTAATATTTATTGTTGTGACCGGAAGATTGGTACCTCTTTGATATCTTGTCATGACTGACACCACCATGAAGCGGTTGACACTGGAGCTGCGATAGTGAGTTTAGTTGGATTTAGAGTAGGTCACATGAGCAACCACATGAGTAAGCGATTGGGTTCCAGATGGAGACTGAGAGACAGCCCGACAGAAGTGAAGTACTCAGACACTAAAGTTAACAACTAAATAGCCATTTAATTTCAACAAAAAGAGTACATGATACAACATACAATATATACCGTGTTTCCCCGAAAATAAGACAGTGTCTTATATTAATTTTTGCTCTGAAAAGTGCGCTAGGTCTTATTTTCAGGGGGAGGTCTTATATTTTCAAAAAGGAAGAATTCACATTTATTATTGAACAAAAAAATTCCCAAGTCGAACTTACACGAGAGTGAAGTATATCCGATGTGTCGAACTGTCGCCTTTTTATAGCGTCAACATCGGACTCGATGACCAATTAGTGCTTACTGAACCGTAGCACTATGCAAATGTCATGTGGCGTGATTCCCGGCCGACCAATTAGCCATCACCAGCCGTAACGTTATGCAAATCTGTGATTCCCAAGCCATAGTCTTATGCAAATCATGCCGTGTGGCGTAATTGTCTGCTGACCAATCAGTGGCTGTACTTTCAAAAAGCCAACGGCCACTTTCAACCATCTGTCGATGACCGTTACGACTAAAAAAAAACTTCGCTAGGTCTTACTTTCAGGGGGAGGTCTTATATTTCGCAATTCAGCAAAATCTGTGCTAGGTCTTATTTTCTGCGGATGTCTTATTTTCGGGGAAACACGGTATATCGTGTTATATTGACTTAGCCTATCTATCTAGCGGTCATGAGAGAGAGTTTACAATTGTTCACAAGTTGGGAAATACTTACGTTGATGGTGATGCTTCTTGATTTGAATTCCGTGAAGTCTTGGATGTCTAGAGTCTTGAGGTTGTCTGGACTTGGATTGTTTGGGACAGGTCTGGATCAATCTGGGAGGTTCTAGGCACAGTTGAGGGTAATTTGAAAATCCTATAGAGTATGATTGGCACTGACACAGGAAAATTTTGATGACTTTAATCCTAGAGGGACTGGCGATGACTGACCTCTTCGGCTGTTAATTACGATATTAAAATTGGTAACGCATGGCCGGGAGGTCAAGGGATCACAGGAAAACATTGCTTTCTCCATCAAGAAAATGTAAATCGAGATGTTCTCAGGTAGTAGATGACAACAATTATTGAATAGGTATGACAAAATCGGTGACCAATTTTTGTTAAAATTCAGATTCTCACATTGGTATGTATGCGTATCTCCAAAAAATGAATATGAATTATTTTGATAACAAACCAAAGTACTGATATGAAAATAATGTGGTGATGTATTATATTGTGTAAATTGTATTATTATGAAAAAGTCCATAAATCAAACATCTGCAGTATGAGTATTCACAATTAAAATCTTGTAATAGTTTCATGTTTTCATATTTGTATTCACAAATGATCTATGGATAGCTCTTTAAGGAATAATTTTTAAGTCTAAAACAGATTAATATAAGTAAAAGTGTAAAATTGAAATTTTATTGTAAGCAAAATGTTTTATTTCAGAAGAGTATGTAAATATTTAAATATATTGTTTTTAAAGGTTTTTCCTTGTTTTGAATATTTTCATGCAAATGCTAATGAACATCAGTTTCTGTCAGCTTCTAAAACCATGTTTGTTTCTAGCAGACAGTACAGATTTGTGAGAAGAATTTGAATTGCTAAACTTGTAATTTTCTTGTTAAGAAAACATTTTATCATTGAAAGAATGGTGTAATTATCAATTACATTTTTTAAAAAAACTTTGAATTTAACAAATTACTTTATATCCAAATGTAACTTAAAATATAGTTTTTAATTTGCTGAATGCATCTCAAAGATTTTTATCATAACAAAATAATTTTTTATGATTAATTAAGTTAGTTTTATGATAAAATAATTCTCCAAAACTATTGATCTGATTCAATAAATTAATAATTCCAAAAGATTTAATAAAATATTCTCTCACATAAATTTTAAACTGTTTTGAGTAGGCAATATTATAAGATTAGTATAAAAAAATACAATCATATATTAAAAGTAATCTAAATACTAATGTTTTCCAAGTTACAGAAATTTTATAAAAAATAAATATTTTTATTTAGAATAATTCATATTTGACAGTTATAAATAAATTACATTCAAAAATGTAGTCTTCTGTTGGTCATCACTTTTTCGATCCACCGCCCCCTTTGTTCCATAAAGTTATACCCAACGCCCCCTAACCCATTTTCTCTTGTGTGAGAAAAGGATTGGAAATATTCTTAGGAAAACTTTTCTATGAATCTCACACTTTGTGCCCTTACTGTACATTGTTCTCATCATCTGGAAACCATTAAACGCAATGTTTCCTCTTATCAGCCCCAATTTTGCCTTTGGTCACCGTTCAATACCCTGCCTCTATCATAGATCTATTCATCGCGCCAGAAGGGGGCGTTATTGCTTACTTTGAGAAACGCTGAGCTAAAATAAAAGTCAATGTGTTAGAAATATTCAAGTTGTGACCTTCAATAAAAAATAAAAAATATATAAAATGTCAACATTTTATATATATTCCGTCGAATTTTTATATATAGAATTTGTCTGCCGTCGCCCCTCTATATTTCCTTAACGCCCCCTAATTCTCTTTGAGTCTTCTACTGCCCCCCTGAAAGCCTCCAGTGCCCACAAGGGGGCGTTATCGCCCACTTTGAGAAACGCTGAATTAACCAAAAGAGTATATTAAAACATTGATGACCTTGACCCACTTTTGTAGTTAATTTGTAAAGGAAAATATTTGTCTTATTGATTTGCCAATATCATTTTAGTTTTCTTGTACAGTATATATGAAACTAGAGCAATAAAGAAATAATAATAAACTTAAGAAAACATTTTTGGATGATTAAGTTCTTTAATCTTATGTTTCTGGAATACTAGAGAATGTTCTACACTTTGTTTGTTTGATCTTATGAAAACTGTTCTCTACTACAGTATTTTAATGTGTTCCTATGATTATTGATGTAATGAATTTTGTGAATGGTTATAAATGAATTATTTTTTTTTATAAAACTATTTCCCTTTAGAAATATCAATGTCAGTTTTGTGTTTGTATTCTTAGCTTGCTATTGACAGTTGGGATAATGATATATATGGCACATAATTAATTTAATTACTTGTATGCAAAAATACTTTTACTTTTTATTACAAAACTTTTTTAAGTGAACATTTAAATAGAACATGACAGTTTTATATTGATTTAAACAAAATAACTAATGGATAAAAGTAGAGATGGGCCAATATCACTTTTCTTGAATTTGAATACTTTGAATACCTTGTGTAACGTACTTAGTTAATAATTTGTTTAATATGTTTTATTTATTTCACTATCCTAATAA